AATAATACAGTATGAGTAATCAAATGGAGTGAAGCCCAGGAAATCGACCATTCTTCTGAAGTAAAGCAGCAAGTCATTAGATAAAAAGAATGTTTGTCCTTCTCAGAAATGTTAAATACCAGCTTCATCCAGTTTCTAAAGATAAATCACAGCTGAATTTCAATTTGAGTTTAACTAAGTGCTGGCCAGAACACTGATGAGTTCAATGATGCTGTGAGCAAGACGTTTGCAATACCATCACAACAATCAGTAAGTCCATAGGCCAGGTATTCCTAACTGCCTTATCTAAACTCTGAGATCTGGATCTGTGTAGACCGGCTAAGAAAGTTGTGTGCAAAACGAGGCAAAAAAGAAGCATTTAGGTTGTCTCGCACGCTGCCCCTCTGCCATCAGTTATTTGGCAGGTCAGGTAACAAGCACGGCAGTGCGTGTGGAAAACCAGGGAGTATATGCAGGAGAATGAGAGCATCCAAACTGCTATAAGGTTAGGAGCAATAATTATGTGCAGAGCAAAGCGGGGTACTTTGTTATGGCCCTCTGATTTGTTACCCAGTTCCTGGCTGTTCTTCCCCAGAAGATTTTTGTATGTGAGGCAATTTTGATTAAACCATCAATCTTGGGCGCTTTTCCTAAACGTTTATAATTCTGTAGGCCTTGGGAAGAATAACTGTGTGTTTTTAGCGCATCATAGGGAAACTGAAATATCCATGCTTTTCTTTACTATTGCCCATTTTCCTTGTTTCTCCCAAACTGAACAGAAAACCAAAACCAAGTGCATATTAGCTGTACAGAAAAACACATAAATCTTGGGTTTTTTTCCCCCAACAGGACGTTTCAAAACTAATCATCTCATGTACGAATTTTGTAGAGCCACTGTTGCTCATTTTTGTGAGTTGCCCTGTTCCCTTAGATTGAAGTTAAGCAGTGAATCCCCAAAAGCTAATAGGTTCAAATTTTGAACTTTACTTTTGTTGAGCAAAACATCAGGAGCTGATGTGCTGACACCTGAATATGTTTGGAAAGAGGAAAAGGTTACTGGCCCATTAGAGCCATCTTCCCAGGAGTTTCTCCACCTCCTCTCCCTGTAAATTGCCTCTGGAGCTGTTGTTCTAGCAACAGTAATGGCAATTAGGATCTGAAAGCTCTCGATCAATTAAGAGCAGGCAATCTCAGGCAGTGGGAGATACGCCACTGGACTGGCTGGCAGCGTGTCTTTTCCAGAGCTGTCATTGTCCTTGTCCCTATAAACAGAGATGATAAGTAGGAATTATTTACAGTGACGGATAAGAACAGTATCTTTTCTTGATGTCTCATGAACTGCCTTTGCTTTTAGAATAAATCTTAACAGTCAGAAATCACTAAGCATCAGATACAGGCACAGAAGGCTTACACCTCTAAATAACAATTACCAGATTCCTTTTGCAATAAGCAGAAGGCTTTTTCATGTATCTAGAAATTTATTTAATATTTAATGGAGCCCTGAATTATTTACAGGTTAAAGTGTTTAACTGTTGCTGTCATTTAAAGAGCAAGTGCCCTGCAGGAGTCTTGCATGGGGCTTTGTAGATCGCACCAAAGCATAGCGTTTGATTCATTAAAGAAGTGTTATGCTTCCAAAGGTAGTAGCATCCAATTTGTATTCTCTTCATCCTGGCCTGACTAATAAAAGATGTGGTGAGATTTCCTGTTTGGATTCTTACCTACCTGCTCAGTAAAACTTTCCACCATCCCACTAGAAATTTGGAATCCCAAGTCACTGATGCTGTTCCAAGAAATTCTGAACTATTTTTAGGTGGAGAAACTTAGGTTTTATTCAGCAGTTCTGGATAACTAAACTGATATGCTTAGGTTTGAGTGTAGTTTATAACCCTGCTCAGCTTTCTGGAAATGGTATGCACGAATAAAATATTTAGAGCTTGACATTGATGTAAGTCATGGTAACTCCCCAAACTTTGTCAGAAACTGGGATCTGGTTTTTTGCTTCCTAATGAAATGTCGTTGCTGATGTTACCATTTCCTCAAGCTTCCCCTGCTCAGATAAAGCAAAGGTAGTAAAATTAAGTTCCCATGATTTACTTGCTTTTCGATGTCTGCTGGAATCACTTGAAAACTTGGTTAAAAAGCACTTTTAGAAAACAAACCAGAGGAAAGTCAAAATTCAGGAAAAGGAGGAAGTTTTCTTCACTTAAAACTTCATTGGCAAGGACCATCTTTCCTACTCTGAGTTTTCTAAGCACCGTTTACTACTGGATGTTAGTGTGCTCAGTTCCTTAGTGCCATCAGTAATCTAAATAACTTAAGCACAGTGAAAGCTTGATTATTACTATTTTTTTTTAATATGAAGTGAATATGCTCCAGCCCCGTGGGATGGATTGGCCATGTTGCTGTGCCAAGGGCATGTGTCCTGAAGAACTTGGTGGCGGTGGCTGGCAGCAGTGGTGCTGTGGCTGTACCCGAACAACCGCCCAGACTGTTCCCCGGGCACGACTCACTCGTTTGCAGAGGGCAAAGCAGAGGTGTCCCCCAGGTCTTTCATAGTTGCTCTTGGGATTTTGGGGGTTCAGGGAGGAAGCAGCTGTGCTGGGGCTTCCCCAGCAGCGGGGTGACAACCCTGGGGCTTACTGAGCCATTCGTGAACTTACTTGTCTGTAATAGGAGGGAAGGAAAAATGAAGGATTGTCCTGCAATCACTTGGCTAGCTTGCAGTTGGTTATAGTAATAAGGAACTCAAAACGGGTAAGGTAAAGTCACCCAGGAATTGCATGTGTTCACTGAGATCTTTTGCCAGCGAGAGGAGGATAAGCCTCTGGGATGAACCTTTCAATTTACATGTAAATAAGAAACTGTGCATTGTTTAGTGTTGATTTTCCTCAAGAGAGGGAATTTAATTCTCTGTTTTATGGACAGGTTTCTTGCCAAACAGTAGTATTTTAGTACTCTGTTTTATAACACAAGTAGTCATAAACCACCTAGAAATACAGAGCTTACGTAGAGGAGCAGAGGACCCAAAGTAGCCCTTGCTACTGAGGATGAGGGATAATACCTGCAGTGTTGTTCACAGGGTCCTGAAGGTAGAGCCTCCTTTAGAAACATCAGAAAGACGGGGAAAATGGAGTCATTAATGTCCATCGATCTTCAGCTAATGTCCAGGGATTGTTCCTGTGCGTGCTCACGCTTGCCAGCTAACCCTGATCCCTGCTCCCAGAGCACTGATTTCGTTTCAGTCCCTAGAGCTGCTCTACTTCTTTAAAAAACTACTAGGCTGACTCTTCAAAGGGTGTCAGATTTTTGTTTGATGAATTACAGTTATCTATCCTTGTCTGTGGATTGCATGGAGAAATTTCTCCGTGGCTTGTTTTCTAAGTTGTAACAGCATCATTTCTTACTCTGTGTCTTTAAGGTTCTGAGTGGAAGGAAACTAAACTGTCCTGATACTATTTCAAGTAATTCAGATTTTTGTTTTCATTTTTGGGTTTGGGGGGCTTCAAGTTGTGTCTTTGTTTCTTGGATAAGACCTGCTGAAATGGTCACTATTTGTCATTTATCTCCCTGACAAGTAGAACCTTTTAGCATGTTCTGCACAAGAACGGAGAGGCTAATCCTGTGCCTCTGACAGGGTTATTTTTACATAATTATTTGTCCAGCCCCTCAGTAACACGATCTCAGGAAACAAGAACGATGATGTGACACTGTGTTAAGTGAACCCCAGTCAGGAAACTAAGAGGGCTTTGTTGGGATTAGAAACTTGATACAGTCTTTTCCTCCGTCACAGAAGTACGTTTCCAGCAGTGTTGGATCTTTCTAGCAGTAAGGTACATGACTTACTGGGGACTCACCAGTTGCCATGTTTCAGAGAAGTAAGATGAGTGACAGGTTGGAAGGGGAAGAAAAGGAAAGAGAGTGTGCAGAGATGCAGCAGGAGATGGCCCAGCCCTGCAATTGGGTGAAAAGCCTCGAGGGCTTCTCCCTCCCTCGCTCTCAGCTTCTCTCCCACACAGATTTTTAAGCCCATACTTGAACCTTAGCAGAAATCAGCCACAAAAATACTGCAAGATAAATACCCTGGAGATGCATACAGCCATCGTTTACGGAGCTCAAATTTGTTCAGTCTTTTTTACCTTCCCTCACATTTTGATTGTGAGGCTAAAGCATGGGATACAGCCCGGTTGTCTCAGCCATCTCATTTACCTCCAAATACAAGACTGGATCAGTCCTCCTAAACTAGATCCCCAAGTGTCCTAAAGCAGATCCCTAAGTTTCCATCCTGAGGTGATCCTAGATTCACAGAATGGTTTGGCTTGGAAGGGACCTTAAAGCCCATCTAGTCCCAACCCCCCTGCCATGGACAGGGACACCTTCCACTAGACCAGGTTGCTCAAAGCCTCATCTAGCCTGGCCTTGAACAATCCCAGGGATGGGGCATCCACAGCCTCTCTGGGCAACCTGTTCCAGTGCCTCACCACTGAGAGGAGATGATGGAGAACTGCATTTCTGTTGCCAGCCTCCAGCGAGAGGGTCACTGGGCTTCAGACACTCTTCTGCACTTGAAGGAGCAGGAAACCTTCCTGGAGACTTTGACAGGCTCTGTGTCCAACAGCGTAGGGAGACGTGGGTATGTACTCTGGGAGCATCCGTCTGCTGGACACGTGGCTGTCAAGCGCTCAGGCTAGATTGTTGGATCTCACCTGACTTTCATAGGACTCCCAGTTCCCTCCCAGTGCCAGGTTCTATCAGAGGCACTCAATTGTGGGGAACCTTGCTTTACACCACAGGTGGGCTATGAGGGGCAACCTGGAACAAAGTGGGGTTTTTTTTCAGTAACTAATCACTGTAACATATTTTAGACTACACAAATGCTGCCCTGAGGAAAAGTTGTCTGGTCTGTGCTTTGCATTGGCATGTTTGGATTAGCGCTGCTACCTTATTGCAGCACTGGGTGGTGAAAGGCGAACAGGGCGCGTGTTTTAACAGCTGTTTCTGCTCTGGTTTCTCTTCCCCAGGGATATGAAGCTGGACGGTGGACGCCAGTGCCATTCTACCAGCGTGTGTCTGAAGGAGATAATTGGTCTCGAAGGTGTGGAGCTTGGAGCGGACGGGAAGGTGGGGATGCTTCTGTGCCTGCTCCCTTAGATTTTCTGTAATAAGGGAAAAAATAATAACAAGCACAAATACGAAAATAAATTATTACATGCAGCATAACACCATACTTAAAGCACCGTATGTGCAGACTACAAATAAGCTTAGCAGACAGTCCAGAGGACTGCCTAAGCTGTCAGTGCAAACAGCTCTGTCTCCTTGAAGAAATTTGCCTCTGGCAACATCGGAGTCTGTAAAGCATTACTGAATCGCCCAGCCGTCCCCTGGCTGTAGCAGGAGTTATCACTGCAAAGTATATTCTCAGGGGATTGAAAATAATTTCTGGTGAGAGTTTTGAGTTGCAATTCTGTTTGCTCTTGGTTTTACTTAATAAAATTAATTTTATTTAACAGTACATTTTTTCCAAAGAGCAGGAAGACAGTAGTAAAAACCTGATGAGTGTTTCAAAATCCAAGAGTGCATTCCTTTGAATTCAATTATTAATCTTCAGGTAAAGTGATCCACTTTAAATATTTTAAGCAAATAATAGCAGAGAGAATTTTAAGCATAAATTAAAGCATTTTTTTGCTGAAAGCCTGATTTACTTTTTACAGTTCACTTTACCCAGTCTGCTGTTGTATATGGATTTAAAGGCCCAGGTCAATGCTGCTACACATGGTATGCTCACCTAACCTGGTGTCCGGCCAGACCGCAGGCAGTAAATTCTTTTCTGGTTATAAATGAAAGAAAGCTCACGTGTTTTATTTGATACCTGTTCTGACCTCCTTGTAAACTAGTCTGGAGTCTGAGACTCACTTTTTTTTCTTCAATATAGTGTTATTTTTGGAAAATAAACCTACGAGAAGCAAAGCACAGTCTATTCCGGGCCAAGGATACAGGCAGAGAATCAAGTATACTCTAAAAATAATTTTGTCACAAGTTATTCATTCGCACTTAGTCCACGTTGGGAGGTAGTAAATGGTCTCCCACAACCATTGCTATAAACTGGTAGTTCTCTTACGACACCAGTAAGACGCTGCCAGACAAAATCCTAAAGGAGAAAAACACCGGAGAAAGTGCTCAAGTTGAGCAGCGTTCAGGTGTTTTGCCTCTGGCTGCTCTGGGCTGAGGGACCCGTATAGATGATGCTGTTTCAGTAAAGAAGCAGATGAAATTGCTACAGAGAAGGCCCACTGAAGAAGAAGAAAAAAAAAAAAAACAACTAACCAAATTGACATATTTTTAAATCTGACCCTTGAGCAGGATTTTGTAAAGCCAGTGTATTAGAGCTTGTGTGTGTCTGTGGTTTTGTGTTGTTGAAGAATTAATGCCTTTGCAAAAGCCTTTTTTGCATGGATAAACTGGCTGCACTGAAGCAAATGTAGGTGACTGGTGTTTATTCATCTGTGCCTAACTATTAAATCCAGAAAATCCTCCACTAATTTGGCTTCCCTTGCTTCCAGTTGGGATGCACCACAGGCATCCTGCCACAGCTGAGCTGGGCTGACAGTAACTGTCTGTCCATTCTGACTTTCTTTTTAGACAGTTTCTTATACACAGTTCCTGTTCCCCACCAATGCTCTGGGAACTCGGAGAAACACGATAGACTCCACCTCATCCTTCTCCCAGTCTCGCAATGCAAGCCATCGTAGCCTTTCTTTGGCAAGAGCTAACAGCACCCAGGGGAGCATCGATGCAGGTAACTTCTCAAGAAGCTTCTTTTAATATCTTGCATACCCTGGTGATAGGCAGTTATTGTGAAGAACGGACACATGTCATGTTTTAGCACCCTTTTTTTGCTTAAATTAAGCAAAAAGCAGTCTCCTGTCATAGGTGAAACACAGCTCATTCCCTGTTTGTTTAGCAAAGCTGGCTTACAGATGATGGAAAGTTGAGTAAACAAGACTGCAGGTCGTATTGACAGCCCCTGATGGCACTCGGCGTGCCTCCTCCTGTCACCAGCATTGTTTGTTCCTCCTGCATCAGGCTCATTGTTACCTTCCTTTGCTATGGAAAATTTACAGTGGCAACACAGTAGTCATAAGCTGAAGGTGTAAATCATACTTGTGACCTTTATTAGGCTGGAAAGGGCTGTGTTTACAAAAGCAGGCACAAAACATAAGCCAAAGCGCTATATGCCTAAGCTATTTTGACATGTTAAATGAAACAAATCAAAACATCTGCATAAACAGATGAAAACTTGTTGCCGGGAATAAAAGCCACTGTGGAGCTTCATATATTTCTGCAGTTCCCTAAACCCTAAATTCACATTTACCAGGTAATTCATAAGCTGTACGTCCTCTGTATCTTTGCAAGTTGTATTAAAATACTTAGTTTTCAAGATTTACAGAAACCTTTCCACTCTTTCAAAAACATTGCATGAAGATCATCTTGTGCATGATCTGAGAACTCGTTTACCACTTCTGTTAAGTTCAGAGATTTCTGGATGTAATTAATTCCTTTCTTATATTTACCATTGTTTTATAGGTAGCGATCTGGGAGACTTTGTTGAATACGACCCAAATCTTTTAGATGATCCCCAGTGGCCGTGTGGCAAACATAAGCGGGTTTTAATATTTCCTTCATACATGGTAAGTAATACTCAAAATTAGGGGTAGCACAGATAAATTTTGGTTACGATATTTCGAAGGTTTTTTTGAGGTTACATTTGGCTGTATGTTAAGAAGATTATTATTATTTGTAATCTACTAATAACAGCTGTTTGGAATGCTTTGTTCTACATGACAGTTACTTACTGGGACGTGTAAAAACAAACTCGTGGAGGTATTACAAAAGTGAACGCTGTTATTACCGCTGTATTTCATAAATGCTTCAGATGAAAGGCTTGCTCGAACAATGCGTTCATTCTCTCGCATTCAGGGGAAAATATACTTCCTCTAATTGGCATCTGTTACAAAATAGGAGGATGCCCATTAGGGTTTTTCTGAAGTCATGGAGCTGCATTGTGTTTTGATGCTTATCATTCACTCCTCGAAACAGTGCTTCGGTGTCTATTAGAGCCTTTGTTTCCCAGGTCTTTACTTCACCATGGGATAGTCCTTCCTTTAATTGTAGCGATTATGAGCAGACCCTGTATATTATTCACTATATCCAAACCCCATAACAATACAGATAGATAACTGCTTCTTGAGAGCAAATGCTCTGTGCTCTAACTCCATGTTTTCTGTGGCAAGAGACTTCTGTTTTCAGTTGCACCAAGCCTGTAAACTTCAGTGTGCTGTTCTGGCAGGACTGTTGCAAGATGCAGTGTCGTCGTATGTGTGTGAGCACGTACCTGTCTGAATTACATATCCAGAATACTAGCAGGCAGCAGGGAAAAGTTAATTTTCTTTTTCAAAGTAGTGACTTAATGCTCTTATCTATATACAAATAGTAGAGGATTTGAAACACTGAGGTCTAAAGCGTTGTCCGTGTCCTCACTTAACTTGGAACAGAAGGTATTATTTAAGAAACTGCTAATGTATGTAAAGACACACTCTTTGTAGGTTCTCTTCTGCCTCCCACCCTGGTCTTTATTTGATAATAGGACTCTTGGGGGCTCCTTCTTGAAAATAAATGGATTTTAAGTGTTTCATGTAGATTGAAGCTTATCTCCTTGCTGTCAGGAGTGTCCTGCCTGTTGCACAGAGAGGCTTAATTGAGCTCTGAGGCTGTGTTTGAGCCGTATTTGCAAATGAAAAGTCCAGTATGTCCTGTGCTTACTTTCAGCCAGTGAAAGTTACTGGCTTTTTACAACTTGCTTCTAGAGTTGGCAAGTTATTTTTTTGGCTGCCAACCCACAGAGTGTCAACCTTTTATGGCTGCTACGTCTGGGTGAGAAAAATATTTGTTAGGTTTTGATATTTTTATTGTCATGGACAGGGAACTGCCTGCCCTGAAAGAGAACGACATTAACTGGCATCCAAAGCGAACACGGCTTTAGCAGTCTGTGTTTCTAACCTTCAGGCTGCGAATGTGCGCCCGGCAGTCTGAGTCCTCTAAGATCGCCTGAGATCTTTGACCCCTTTTCAACTTGGTGTTGATAGGGACGAGGTTGGGTGAATCACAATAGGGCAGCCAGGATAGCGTCCTGCAGGGGAGGTCTCTGCCCAGGAGTGGGTGTTTGATGCCCTTCTTTTCCATACACTGGTTAACCACAGCATTTTGAGGTCTGTGTTTGTACTTTTATTGCAAAAAAGGAGCTGACTGGGGATTTCCACTGTGACAGAGGTATGACTAGATACTTCAAAGGTGAAAAATGGACTTCAAGGGCAATTGTTAAAATCCGTGTCATCGTTTGTCTAGAATATATCAACATTGACAGGGTTTTCCCTGCTTTTTCGTTTTCTCTAGGGGTTAATTACTGCTGTGTCTGGTAAAATGTCTTATTTGACATTTTGGAGTGGTTTTTGCCTGAATTTGCGCTCAGCTGCCTGAGGGTCTGCAGCACTGCCATCTCCCTCTCTGAAGGTAGTCACTAATCTAAGAAAGGGCTGAAGGACATTAAGCGTTACGTTTCCTTTGTTGGAATTACGGGCACGTGCCAAGAGCTCTCTTGCCCAAGGATTTCACCCGTCCCTGGTCAAAGCAGCATAGCTGTGATGCCAGGCAGAAGCTACACGGCTTTGCAAGAAACCCAAGGTTTTTCTTTCAGTGATCGGCTGAGAGATTTCACAAGGGGCTGGTGCTTCCTTCAGCTGAGAGAAGGGAGAAGAGGTAGTGCCAGAGTGTCCTGGGAGCTTGCAGGTTAAATAGGATTTTGCAACTCGAGCTGTGGGTAAGGAGGACTTGTGTGCTGAGCTGGTGGGTATAGGGCCATATAGGCTAAGTAGACTTTACTTGCAACCATGTTAGACTTTCCTGACTCAGCTGGCATTCTGCAGTTCACATCAGTGTGAACAGGAGCATAATAGGCTGTAATTTCAAATCACTTTCTTCCCCAAATATAAAAATCAACGCATGCTGCTCTTAAAGCAAATTGTAGTTTGAGGCCAGCGAGAAACCTATGTGTTATTTTTCCTGACCGTGCACGGCCATCGCGGAAGTGACAGGCCTCGGCCGAGTGACCGCCGTGCCGTAGAGCTGCCGTACACAGATTGAACCTAGTCCCCGCTCCTGAGGGGAATAGAGCTGGAGTTAGTGCCCCTGGCAAGTGCCGGCGCAGCCGAAAGCCGATCTGATGTCAGCACCGAACGCTTTGGTGTGTGTGGAGAGCTGCAGCTTGTAATTAAAGTTTCGTTACTTGGCCAGCATCTAGCATTAATGCTTGGCAGCTGCAGGCTTGTAAATATTCCTCCTCGCATACGGATGTCAGAGCAATTAACGGGGGGGATGGCGTGTGAGAGGGACGTGCACACGCGGCGGAGTGGCTGAGCGAGGCTGGGTGCTGGGCTGCGGCCCTGGTAGCGCTACACACACCGGGATTGCTCCTGGGAGCCTGGCTCATGCTTCGCAGGCCGGGATTTCTCCTCTGGAAGAACTCAGTTGAGGTCTGTGAACGCTGCATGAGTAAACACTGCAAGCTTTATCCCGAAGCATGAGACAAACAAAATGTTTGGTCCTGCTTCGATTTTATTCTGGAATACGTGCAGTTAGTACTCGGCGTGCAGTTCCCTCCATTTTTGTGGAGCCCAGACTTATCATCACTGATGTTGGCTTTAGATAGAGTCTTGTAACTTTACTGGGCTGAATTAGTCCTGACTCGCAGACGATTATTAACTGCAAGTCCTCAGCTGTTTTCAAGGAGTAGCTGAGCTTCCTCCTTGAAGATAGCTGTGGGGAAGGAGAAGTGCTTTTGCTTTGGTCTTTTTTTTTTTTTTTTTGCAGCAAAGTTCCTAGCTTGAAAGGGTATAACACTTCCCTGTCGCGTTTCTGAACCTAATACCCACAAACAGCCTGTTAGGGGACGATTCTGAAAAAAACAACTTTAGTACTTTCCCAACACAAACTCTACGGCTTCTGTTAATTGTATGAGTCATATTTAAATTCTGGCCTACCCTGGAGAAATTATTTTGCTTTATGTTGTCTTTGTAGGAAAGTCTACTATCTCTACCGCAGTATAAACAGTAAGAGGTAGAAAAATTTCATGCTGAGGGGCAGGAGGGAAACATCATGTCACAGTTAACAGATGTCTTCCTGGCTGATACAGCTAAAACAGGAATTCTTGCAGATTCTTAAATCTCTCTAGAATAGGAAGTTTATCTACCAGACAGAGCAGAGATTTCTTTGCTCGAGTCTCACGTTGACTAGGGTATGTCCAAACTCGTCAGGGCCTCCCTGCATTCTTGCCAGCAGAAACAAACTCCTTCCATGCGGAAGAAAACTCAGCCTGCAATGGGGTGTGCATCTGACCCCCACAGTCCTGCTTTTGTTGGTAACACAGAAACACAGGAGTGTCTTCAGCTGGCTGCTGCGCACTGCCAAAACTTGCAGAAAAAGAAGAAAATCTTATATCAGTAGCGTCTTGACTTTGAATGACCCTTCTCTAAGAACAACCTGGCAATATCCATCTATCCGTCATGCCCAAGGGATACACTTGGAATTTGGTTTGGGTGCTTAACTACGATTTCAGTGTATTGGTTTAATTATGTAAAAATAAATTGACTTCTCCACACCACTGCTAAAAAGGCATGTTGCAAAAGTCTGCAGTGCTCTTACAGCTGACCATCAGCCAGAATTTGCCGGGTGCAGCACTAGTGTCGAGCTGTGTTATTAAATATTAGTCCTCCAGTGTGATTTTAAAATGAGAACCGCTCACTGCCCTGGCCATTTAGTCTAACAAAAGCCCTGCATGATGATATAGCGCATTCGGTCTCTCGCTGCCCGAATCTGGCTTTCAGGACGAGTGTCAAGGTCAGGAGTACTCCGCTACAGCCAGCGTCCTCTGGTGCCGTCACCCTATTCTTCCAGCCGCTTCCGCAGCTGTAAATTAAACATCTCCAGGCTGGGTTTTTATCAGTTGCTGACCTTGTACCCAAAAGTCTCAGGGAGCAGAGGATCACAGTGGTGGCATATATTCATATTTAAGCCCCTGTGCTCTATGCATCTGATGCTGTATTTGGCTGAGACTCCCAATAAACACTTGCTTTATAACAATGACGCGCTGTATTAATTGCAAATGATTCCAGTGTGTTAACTGAATAAAATAAACTGGCGCCCTTCCATGTACTTTAATTCCAAGAGACAGTTCTGAGATTATTTACTCTGTGAAGTTCTAAATCTTTCAGTTTCAGATCCTTGAATGTTAATAACTTTCTAACAAGGGAAACGTCTTCTAGTCTCCTTTTCCCTTTTTTTCGTGTTAAAGAAAGAATTACTCCCATTTTCCATCACTGTTTTAAGCCCTGCTGTAGCAGGATTTCCCTGTATATATGCATCTTCAGCCGTGAGTATACACGTGAGGTTGCTGTCAGTTTAAAGCTCCACGGGCTGTCACCTGTGGCATGCGTTAAGGCAGCCAGGCAGTGCAGAGTCACTGACTCCTTTTCGGTTTTTATAATGATGAGAACTTAACCACTGACCTACGGAAAATCTGTTCAGTGTGTCCATCTTCTGTCTGCTCTCTGAGAAGTGGATTAGCAGGGGTACACAG